ATATATATATATATATATATGTTGTGTGTGTGTGTGTATAGGTAGAATAATAAGTGAAATCCGAACCTGTCAGGCTGCTAGCTCTTATAGTTCCTTGTTAAAAAACGGATGAAGAACAAGGTCTGTAGAAATAATATATAACGATATACTGTCATTATCAGAACTGTGACTAACGTTGTATTTGAAAGCCAATGAAAATTGCATACTCTTGGCTTTGGTTTAGCTGTCATAATGTTTTCTAGTTTTATCATTCGTCACTCACTCATTGTTGCACTGAACGTGATCTGACTGTTTACCTAACACTAACTTTTTTGATTATAATTCTCACTCTTAATTAAAATTTTCTTGTTTCTGAAGCTATAGTTCGTGTAATAAGAATAATCTTTTTCTCTTATGATGTTGTATTCTTATTGTTAGTGACATCCAGTATGGTTTCACGACAACTTTTTGTGATTGGGCTTATAAATCATGTATTTAACGTTGTAATGTTACTGAGTATTGTTTACTTGATTTTTAACGTAAACACAAGAAACAATGTTACCAATATAGTTAAATATAGTTATATGTTAAATAAAGATAGTAAATAAAAAAATAATTTGATTCGTATTAGGTTTGAATTTAGCGCAAAGCTACACGAGGGCTATCTGCGCTAGCCGTCCCTAACTTAGTAATGTAAGACTAGAAGGAAGACAGCTAGCCATCACCACCTACCGCCAACTCTTGGGCTACTCTTTTACCAATGAATTGACCGTCACATTATAACGCCCCCACGACTGAAAGGGCAGGCATGTTTGGTGGGACGGGAAATTCAAAACAAATCAAACAAAACCTGACAATGACCTCAGGATTAACAGTCTTTAGTTTAAAGTAGGATCTAAATATTACTTTAGATTAAACGCAAACTACTCTTAAAAAATGATGACCCGCCAAAATATCCATTGTTTAAAATCACCCTAACCTATCCGGAATGGACAACTTCTATTAGACGTAAAGTTCACACTTGAATATCAAATTTCAAAATTTAAGACAAAAATTTAATTCAAACTATTTGAACAAACCTTTACGCAAATTATATTTTAGGACTTATATGTTATCGTTATATATATATATATATATATATGTTTTTCTTCCACCTTTTACTTCTTCAAAGATACTAGAATCTCGCCTGTAATCTACACATTTATCGATTTTTTTTTCTCTGCCCATCTCAAAGTATAGATATATATGCTACGAAACTATCATTCCTTGAAACTATGATGATTCTTACATTGTTTTTCACATGATTCTTCTTCTCGTTCACTACAGCCAGCCTTCGTTACTGCTTTTTTTTACGATGTAACAACACGTGGTCTAAACAATTATCAATAAAGCTCAATTAGAAACAGAATCACCAGGGTAACAGCTGTAAAGTACTTGATCAAATGTTTCAGAACTTGCCAGTTCCATCATCAACGACATGTAAAAATACTGTTACGTCTCTGGTCGTTTGTTAATTTCCGGTATAAATTCTTCCCGAGGAACTTCGGCGATACAAGTCCTTTCTTAAATAAAACTTTCTCAATACAACTTTGCAATACACACAATTTCCACAGTCACTTTATCATAAACACACGCTATAATTCACAACGATTCACGCACTTTACTTACAGTCACTAACGCTCGCTTGACTCAATTATCTGTCTCTATATCTCCATCTACA